TTTTTTTTTTTTTTCGAAACGATAGGATATATTACTCAGAAAAATTTACATCAAGGACAAACTTGTCCTAATACAACATCACCCTAAGGTAAGAGAACCCGAAAAAGGTTATATGCATCTTCCCCGGCTTATGATGACTTCAGAGTCCAGGGAATGCACATCAACCTTTAGCCCCTATGCACAGCAAAAATCGGCAAACAAAAAGGATTTACCACTGCCAAACATGGCCTAGCAACCCTCAAAACACTAGGAAAATAAGTAACAGATGCACCCAAAATAACATTAAAACATTATGTACAATATTGAAATTCCATCCAGTCTTCTAACGCCAATGAAATTGTGTCCTTCTCTGATCGCCATTGCTTAGTAAACACCCACAAGTTCCTAGTCTTCCACATCCACCAGAGGATATAAGAAGACAATTGAAGTCTGGCCTCGGCAGTGGGTGAGTTATTTACTGAGCAAACCTTTGGCCACCAAAGTTTAAAGCTGTCTGTGAATATTTGAGCTCCATCCCATGAAACAGGGGAGATTTCCCATATCCGTTGAGCTCTTTTGCAATGGAAAAAGAGGTGTTCTTGTGTTTCTTGGTCTTCCCCACACATCTGACAGGTTGGATCAATTTGTATTCCCTTCTTGATGAGGTTGTTGTTGACTGGTATTATGTTATTCATTCCTTTCCACAGAAAATGTTTCACTTTGGGTTTAATGTGCAGCTTCCATGTTCTCATCCTTGCTTTCTGTAGTACTTTTTGATCTTGACTGGTGCCTGGCATGTCCATTTGTAAGAATTTTTCCAGGATCATTTTTGAGTAGGCTGAGGACACTGTGAAGTTTCCATTCTCTGCTCCTACCCAAATCAGTCTATCTTTTTGATGAGGATCCAATCCTGTGATGTTCAGTATGGCTTTGGCCTCCAGATGTGGAAAGCATGACATCACTAGCTCCCTATTCCACCTTCTCCCTGATTCGGCCAATAAGTCCTTGACCCATATGATGTTAGGAGGAGCATTTGTTCTGGTCTGTGGGTTCAGTCTTGGGATGTTAGGCACCCAGGGGTGGTCCCATATTTTTACCCCTTTGCCATCCTTGATTTTGTAGAGAATTCCCTGCTTGAAAGAGTCCCTCTGCTTTAGCCAACTGGCCCAAAGCCAAGAGCTGTTCTTTTTGTGCTTGGTTGTGAAGAAATCTTCCTTTGGGAAATATTTTGCTTTGAGAGTTTTGCTAACCAGGATGTTAGGATGTGTTAACAGTCTCCATAATTGCTTTGAGATGAGGGCCTTGTAAAGGTCATATTTATTTAAGTGACCCTTTTGTCTTTTCTATAAAATGTGATGCATGAAGGGTCAAAAATACCCTTATGTTATATAACAAATGTTCATTCGTTTTTCTTTATGATATAACGAAAGTAGATTCGTTATATATCTTTTATTGAAACTTGTTATATTTCAAGTCCTAATTCTTTACTTATCTCTTGAACTTTTTGTTCAATTTTATATATATTGTTATTTGGTTTTATGATTACTTCAGTACAATTATCTATTTTTGAAGAACTTGCTTCGTTTTCCTCATTATTCTGTTTAGGAATAACGTAGTCTATTTTAGATCTTACGAAAGACGAAGTTCTATGTACTTGAAAGGACCTTCTAAGTGCTTCTAGTTGTAATATTGGTGAAAATAATTCATCAATTTCAATTTTATCATCAGGTTTGAATGACAAACTATGATGACTGTTAGTAAGTGCATAGTTTATTCTCCATGTTACTGAAAATGGGTGATTTCCAGTTTTCATTATTTTTCTTTTCATGTTCTAACACAACGTGATAGAATCATCTAAATTATTGTCAAATAAAGACATTCCAACTTGGTAATTTAAATTAAACTTAATTTTACCAAATTTTAGATTTTCACTCCCTTCAGCTATTAGAGCATCAGAATAATTAATCATTCTATTATCAATTAGTCTTATTGTAATAGGAGAATCTATTCCTAGACTATAAGTTGATTTAAGAATCATTTGTATAGTAGAAACATGTAAGTAAGAGATTTTATTTCTAGTTTCTGTTTTTATATCTTTCAACATAGAAAGAATTTGTTCTTTACAGATAACAGGAATAACTACATTTCCTTCTGTTTGATCTGTATCTATTGCTTCTTCTCCAGAAATGATTCCAAAGAATATTTTATTTTTTCTAGAAATTAAATTATTTAATTTCTTTATCAATCCTTCATTTCTGAAATTCTGATTCTTTTTAAAATCATGATCTGCTATTCCTAATTTATTTGCATCTATCAAGGCTTCAATTAAATAGCTTGATTTTTCGTGCTTTGTGCAATAATCTAAAAGATTGTTTTCTTTATCCATAGACTTTTAATCTAAAATTTCAGTATTTTCGCTTGTTACCAGGCTCTGATACCATTTTGTTTTGGGGAAGCTCCAACTTTTAACTTCGGGTTTCATTTTGTTTTGCTGCAGCTCCAGCTTTTAACTTTGGGTTTATGATCAATTTTGCGGAAATTCTTAGATATTAAATCTTAGTTTTTTCAATTTTTTCTTTATACTTTTCAGATAATTAACTTGACCTTCTATTTCTGGAAAACAATCTCCATAGTAATTATCTCTTGTAGAATGACTTTTATAATAATTTTTCTTGAGTGTAATTCTATATATAAGGTTTTCTAGATCTTTTAAAAGATCCTCTCTAGCTTTTTCAAGGAAATCCATTTCATTTTTTCTTATATTACCATAAGCATCTAAACTTATGGGACTAGTATTTAATCTTTCACTAATAATGTCAAACTCTTCTTTCATCATTAAAAGTTAAAGCATTCTTCAAATGAAAACATCATTTGAAATTGTGAGTTATGAAGAATACTCTTGAGAAAGATGAGACTCTGCCATGATAAATCCATTTTTTACAAACCTCAAATTTTGGGGTTGTAATGAATTCTCGTTTTGAACGAGTCGAAGGCTATAGGCCATTCTTTCGATATCTGAAGCAATCAGATTTTTATCGCAAGTTCGAATCAAAGTTCGATACTTAGTTTTCAACTTTTGAATAGTTGATTCTAAAATATACTCCCACGAAATAGCAGGCATTATATATTTTTTATATACAGAGTTTTTCTAAGTTTGATATAATTTTAGCTAACTCCTTTTCTCTGGTTACTAGTGATGAATGAATACCATTGTAATAGTTATCTTTTGATCTTTGTCTATTATTTCTAATAGTTTGTCGTTGAACACCATTTTCTAGAATTTTTAATTTCTCTAAAATTTCGAGTTTAAGAAACTTTAAAAGATTATTTTCTAATCTTCTTAATTCTTCATATTTATCTAACCTTATAGGTAATTGTATGCAATTTTTAATGTTATTAAAAACATTATTAAAAAGTTCTGAGTTCATACCTTTCTTCTGGGTTTTGAATTCTTTTAGTGTGCTTGAGATGATTGGTCCACCATAGCTTCCTGCTTTATCCTCAAATTCCAAACACTGTGCTCCGAGTCGTCTTACCGCCCTCCTTCCTGGGTCTTACTTCGACGCGCGATTGTGTCTCCAGGAATATCCAGAGAATTTTTGCCTAAGCTTTTGGTTTTATCTTTTCTTGATGCTTAATAGCTTCTAAGTGTTTGAAACTTAATGTTTCTGTGACATAAAGCTCGTGGCTTAAGAACAACTTTTATTGAATATTAAATGTTTACAGAGAATAAAACTTCGAAATCTGATGAGGGATTGATGCCTTACACACTCTAATGGCACCCCCTTATATAGCAACTAGAAATGCGTGAATTATTGGGGTTCGGCACAAGTTGCCGTCTCACCAAACGCATTATGAAAAGAAGACGCAAAAGCAGAAACTTCACATGAGTTGGTCTGCTACATTATTACATGGTGATAATGAAAAGAAGACAAAAAAGCAGAAACTCTTCATGAGTTTATCTGCTACATTATTATATCGTGGTAGGGTCTTCACATGGCAATGGCAGGCAGGTCTTCTGTGGCAACTGGCATGCTTGAATTTTCTCCTTTTTCCAAAGTGGTAGGGTCCTCCACATGTTTTTCTTTTTGCTTGCCAGACTCTCTCTTGTCGTTAGTGTCGGCAACCTTCTTCTTTTTCTTCTGGTGTTTTTCTTTTTCTTCATTGACTGTAAGAACAATGGACTGCACCATTTTCTTTGTTGCTTCAGTAGCATGAATCTTAAGGATGATATTATCCTGTCAATTCTGGACTATGGCCAAGTCTTGTTTGTCAATTTTCTTGTTGAAATTACTGACCAGAAGAATATTTGGGCTGCAATAATTTACTTTAATTTGGCTTGATGAATTTATTTTTTCTAATGTCTTTAAGATAAAATAAATTCTATCTGCTCTCTCTAATTTCAATTCTTCCTCTGTCAATAGAGGTTTTTCTTGTACAAGTGGTACTGGTGGTTTCACTTCTCCAGACACCCCAACATGAATATAGTGGTAGGCTGGGAATTGTTCTTCTTCGTTCCAGTCTGGCATTGAACTCCAGATCTTGACAAAGATTGATTTGTTATTTTCACGAATTCTGCATTTTTCCATGTACAAAGCGATCCCCTGTTTGATTTTTAGAAAATATGACAATTCTCTTAAACTGTTCTCTGGGTAGAGGGTATCAATAAATCCTCCTAGGAACAAGTCTCTTGTAATTTCAGGAGTAACTCCTGATAGCAGAATAGCTTTAATTTGTTGATTTCTGCTAATAGGAATATATCCTTGTTCACTTGTACTCGCATTTACTTCTTCGTTTAATACTTTGATGTATAAAATTTATCTATAAAATAATTATTTTTGCTATTTTTATGTATATATATATATCTATATAAAAAGGTTGTTGGTAAAATCATTTTTAGTAACTTTTGACTAAATAAATAAATCATTTGACTTACTACTAAAGGCAATATTTTAAAAATTAATTTAATTTTTTGGAAAAAAAATAATGCTACATTCACGGATTTAAATCTCAAACTTATCGGATACATGGCCTAAAAGAGTGTACTTAACTAATAAAAGAAATAAAGTGATTTTATTGTAGGCGAGGTAATTAAAGAATTATTTTTAATTCTCTGCCAAATTTTTAGTTTGATATTGATCAAATGTTAACATACTTATACATACATATATGCAATCTTTTGGAAATTAGCAACATATACATATACTGTAATTGTCAAATTATATTACTCTTTTTTCCTTTTGTTATTTACGTCTTTAATAATTCAAATTTGCACATGTTTTGATTTATTTAATCCACATTTATCACAATAAAAAATTAATTCTTCATATTAATTACGAATCACTGCCATTTTTTTTATTCTTTTGGCAATCAACTATACCACATGTCTTCAAAAAATGTCTATTAAATATATTTCGTTATATTATTTGAATATGCATGATAAGGTTGCAAATATAATTACAAAATAAAAATTGAAAATCAATTATGAAAAAATTATTGTGACATTTATCACAATGTTACAATTAAATCTTATTTATCGACATTAATAAAAAATCATTGTGAATTCTTATTCATTTGGTAAACAACCATATATCAACATATTTTTTATTGTACCTTCAAAAAATTATTTAATCGAGAGAATTAGTTTAAAATCTATTGATTTATCAATAACACAACCGTTACAGTTTTCAAAAATTGTAAACCCAATTTTCCAAAATTAAAAAAATTAAAAAAAAATTAACTATTTATGTTTAATAACAAGCCAATCTTTATTCTTAACAACAAATAATATGTTCTTCTATTTTGTTGGGTACGTATCCAGCCATATTTAGATCGAAATATGCGTGAGAACATTGCAAAATATAAGTATAAGATAAATTTAGAAATCAATTGCAAAAATCTTATTAATATAAATACATCAATACTATAACAGAATTGATATATCAACATTAATAAAAAAAATCCCTATGATATTCTATTTATTTCGTAGCGAGCCATATACAAAAAAGCATCTATTAAAGGAGTTCAAAAATATCTTTTAATTTTATCAATAACTGCACCAAACTATTTTTTTTTAAAAATTCATATTG